TTCCCCCCCCCCCCCCTCCCCTCTCTTTCTTCTTCTCTTCCTCTTTCTTCTTCTTTTTCTCCTTATCCTGCTCCTTCCCCAGCAAACCACTCCCTGGTTCTTTAAACACCTTCTCTTGTCTTTGAACTTGGCCCTATATCTATGGAAGCTTTATAGTATCTTGCTGAGCTTTAGCTACAACTGTGGTCATTCTTATGGATCCCCTAACTTCTCACAGTCTCACCTAATTTGTGAGGGGAGGCCTTGACATACTTCGCAATACTGGTTTCTTGATGCCAGTAAATTCATAGTACCACAACTGTACATGAGAGATATAAAAGATTAACAATCAATCTATAACCTTAACAACAAATATGTAACCATAATAGTAAATCTATACCTTCACAATCAAACTGTGACCTTAACAACAAATCTGTAACATTAACAACCAATCTATTGGACTAACAACACAAACTATCTACAACCTTAACAACCAATCAGCAACATCAACAACTAATCAGTAACCTTAACAATAGATGTGTAACCATAACAACCATTATATAACCTTAACAACAAATCTACAACATTGACAACAAATCAGTAAACTTAATAACTAGGCTATCTGCAACTTTAACAACCATCCTATAACCTTAACAACCAATATGCAACCTTAACAACAAATTTGTACACATAATGAACAATCCTTAACCCTAACAACTAATAACTATACTTAAGAACAAATCCATATCCTTCACAATCAAGAATGCATACATTATAGTCATTGCTCTAAACAATAAAAAGTATGAATACTTATAGACACAAGATGGATACACTCTTGCAGATATACCATCTTCTTTCCAGCAGCAGGACCCTTCAATGCTTTTTCCATTGCATCATTTGTCTCACTGAGAATATTGCTCCCCCAAGCAATGTTCTTTGCTTGTTCGATGCTATCAATATACTTGAACAAATGTCTTAGTATGCAATAACACTACTTGGACACCAGATCATGCTCAATTGATTCATGATTTGTAGTAGGACAAAGTCCTTTACATCTTTACTGTCATTTAATCATACAAGCCTCATGAGTAGATACTCAACATGGTGTTTGGTGGGTGATGGAGGAGCCTTACTACTGTCGCCCTTAGTTTTGAAAAAAAAACCTCAACCAAATTTGATTTCTTCGATCTCGGTTAAGGTCAACAAAAGCCCCCTCATTGGAGAACTATGTATGGCTCATAACCCAATCAAGGTTGAATGAGCACTGTGTGTCCTCTCCAGTTTTTAAATCAGTAAAGACAAATTTCTTGGTCGTCCCACTATCTCAGCACGTGCTCAAATATGGGAAGATCAAGATCAGGAGGGTGAAAATGAACGTAGTGCCTAAATACACTATCTTCGTAGGCATCCCAATGCCTTTGGCCTCTATATTGCACTAAAGAATGCATGAATTCATAATAAGCAATGAAGCTTGATATAGCCCGCACCTCTAATACAACATTTTGTCTACAAAGCAAAACAACAATACATAATTAGTTTGAAAATAATATGTAATCTTAACAACTATAGATTGGCTGTTGAGGTTATTGAATAGTTGTTAAGTTTATTGATTTGTTATTAAGGTTATAGTTTCTTTTTTATATTTACAGCATCAAAAATAAACTATAACCTTAACAATTAACAACTAAACGTTAACAGTAACCTTAACAACTAACAGCCAAACGTCAACAGTAACCTTCACAGAAGATTCATAACATTAATAGCTAACATACCACATGTTAACAGTAACCTTCACAACTAACAAGCCAAGTTAACAGTAACTTTCATAACAGATTCATAACCTTAATAACTAATGCAGAACCTAACAATTAATGAATGTCATTGACAAGTAAAAGCTAATATTCACAACTTAACTGTAACATTCACAATTATATAGTAAACTCATGTCTTCTTGGTTGTCAACTGCCTCTCTTCCACATCGCTCCTCATCGTTCCTCTCTTTAGTCTAGGAGCGCTCTCTAGGTATCATTGGTGCTACCCTCGAGATCTGTGCGTTGGACTGGGTTTGTGGGTTGAGCTGGACTTGTGGGAAGAGGATAGCTAGCTGTGATATCCTCTAGAACATAGGCACTTGATGTGCCAGCTTCATTCAACTCTATGCTGGAATGTCTTCTTGCGATGACGTACTGTTGTCGCTGATGAAATCTACAGGGGGTGCACGGGCGACTTCTTTGGGAGCTAACTTGTAAGCCATGATGAAAATCAAGGTGTAGGATGACAAGATTACAAGAGAAGATCTTGGATTTTCGCTTTGGGTGGGTTCATGTAGGGTTAGCATTAAAAATCTGGGGATACTCGGTTCACTTGGACAGATGAGAGAAGATGACACGTTCGACGAGGAGAGGTGTTTTGAGTAGTGGGAGACGGTTAAATCAAAGGGTATTTTGGGAATTATTTTTTAAAACCGGATCACTTGAGAAGTAGGTTTGGGGGCTAAAGGCAATTGTATTTTGGGGATGGAGGCTTTGCAGGCTTTGAAAATTTCTTGGTGGGGGTTCTTGGTGGGGGGTGGGGGGTGGGGGGATAGATGAAGTTATTTTGGGGGCTAGAAGCAATTTTCCCTTGAAAACAAACTGCCCCGGACCAAAGTTTGTTTGGTGAGGGGAGAGACTACTAAAAGACGACAGGTACTTTGGTGGCCACAGGAGCTTCTCTCTTAGTTTATTGTTTCTTCTCTGCCCACTCCCTCCCCACCCCCCTCTCTCTCATCATATTCATGGTCATGGTTCTATTATCTTCTCAGCCTTCCTTGTACCTACATCCCTTGGCCGGCCGGTCTAGAGTTCACCCTCCCATATCGCCGAACCGCCGGTTCTTCTCACTTCCCAGTCCCATAATTACAATATTGCCCCCCAAGAAGTGTTCCATTACGACAGCTACTGTTACCGGCAGTTGGTTCACCGCCCCCCTCATCTCCCCCAGTGATCACTGGGGCACTTGGACTGCTATCATTGCCACCGCTGCCTTTGGCATCTGGTAACTACTTATTTTTAGTTGAATTTTGATTCAACTTTATTTTATTGTAAGGAATTACATGTTGTTAATGCAACGAATACTGATTGCCTACATAGTCATACGTTTTTTCATTCAATTCTCGTTTGGTCCTCCAATCAAGTTCTTTTAGCCTGCATTTACGCATTCTTACTCCATCGATTACAAGGGCTTTTCTTATAATAAGATTAGTTTTTATTTCAAAAACCCCAAACATTTGGGGGTTTGCACATAGAACCTTTTCATTTCATAAAAGAACCATGAGGTGTAAACTTTACTTAATTGATCCTTGCCTGTAATTGGCAAATAACTAAAAAGATCACTGAGAGAAAGACTACGATGTCTGTAAATGGCAAATGGCTAAATTAGATGACACGTGTTTCTGTTGAGGACATTTCAGTTATTTGCTAGATACCCAATAGGGGGTCCATTAAGAAAAGCTTTAAACTTTAAGAGGATTTTGATGGACACCCTAAATTTCAGGTTATGGGGCTATATGTGCAAACCGGGGTCAAATTAACCCATAAAAGATAGAATTTAGGGTCTAATATGACGAAAATTCTATTAATAATCTTATCATTCTACTGTTACATTTTAGTAGTTTCCATTGCACATGAATAAATCATTTCAATCATTTTTTCCATCTTATACTCAATTGAAGCAAATTTTAACCTCCTATGAGTGCACCTATTTCTTGTTCAGTTTCTCAGTGTATATTAGGCTTGTCTAAATTCCATCTACTGACATTATTAAGCATGTCATATTCCACTTGCTAGCTGTTTAATTAATTTAATTAATTACCTGTCGGGTAGCCTTAATATAAAAAAGCAACCGTCCAATTCATTGGATTTTTTATTAATGAGCAGCAAAAATCAATTGATGATCCCGCAAAGTTTGTTTTATTTTTTATTCATCTTTATAGGATAAATAAATTACTATTTTACCCTTTTTATTCATAGAACTAATGGAGGGCTCTCCTTCCCCACAAATAAAACTGTTCGGATTAATGATTGTCAAATATCATGAAGAGATAAATATTGGAGACATTATTGTCTCTAGCAAGTTGGGGTTTAATGGATGGAAATTTTTTTTTTATTAGGCTAAATATCCATTCAGTGGCGGGAGATTTTGTTTTTGCATGATAGAAGATCCAATTTTTGATTTGCAAAGTTAAAGAATTCTATAAGCATTAAAACTAAACTTTTCCTCATTAATTACTTCTTTACCTTTTAGATGGGTTTTTAGAAACGTTTTGGTCAAATAAGATTGACAAAGTATTGAGCCTAGTGCTTAGTCGATTTTGACTATTTCTGTTTATCGAACTTTGTAAGCAATGCTAATGATAGATGAAGTACGTTTACAAATCAAGAGTATTTTACAATTAACTCATGTATAGACAGGTCCATCACAGAAATTCTGCTACACAAAGTTTTTTGCACATGTTGTTTCTTAAATTATCAATTAGAGTTGTAAATGAAAACCCTAATTCATTATGAGATCTCTTGGGCTTTATATAGGCCCCTTACACAACTTACAAATAAGTCCTAATAAATACTAATATATGTCAACACTCCTCCTCAAGATGGGCGAAAGATATCTACTAAGCTCATCTTGTCACATCCTCTAATCATATCTACTGAGCTAAGTCCTTTAGTCAGACAATCTGCTGCCTGGTCCTTAGTCGAAACATGACTTAGCTCCAGTAGTCCACTATCCAACTTCTCTTTGATGAAGAACCTATCGATCTCGATGTGTTTGGTTCTATCATGCTGCACTGGGTTGTTGGCGATATTGATGGCTGACTTGTTGTCACACCACAACTTCATCTTAGCTCCTTGATCCAGCTTCAGCTCCACCAACATACTCTTCAACCATAGCAACTCAGCAACTCCTAAGGCCATAGCTCTATACTCTGCCTCAGCTGTCGATCTCGCCACCACCGACTGCTTCTTGCTCTTCCACGAGACTAAGTTGCCTCCTATGAAGATGCAGTATCCTGAGGTGGACCTCCTGTCATCAGCACAGCTAGCCCAATCAATGTCACAATAGCCCTCAATGCTCATGTGTTCATTCTTCATAAAGATTAGCCCTTTTCCGGGGCATTCTTCAAATACCTTAGAATCTGGTACACTGCGTCCATATGACCCTTCCTTGGATCATGCATGTAGCGACTCACCACGCTCACTGCAAAAGAGATATTGGGGCGTGTGTGACACAGATAGATCAACCAGCCCACCAGCCTTTGGTATCTATCGCGATCAACTGGTTCTCCAGCTTCAGCACCCAGCTTAAACTTCTGATCGATCGGTGTAGTTGCAGGTTTGCATCCTAACATTCCTGTTTCTTTGAGAAGATCCAGTGCATACTTTCTCTGGGATAGGACGATCCCCTCCGCTCCTCGAGCTATCTCTATTCCAAGAAAGTATCTAAGCAAGCCAAGATCTTTCACCTCAAATTCCTTACCCAGTCTCACTTTGAGTTGGGCAATCTCCTTCTCATCATCCCCTGTAATAATCATATCATCCACATATACTGCAAGCAAGGTGATGTGACCTCCACTTCTTCGAAAGAACACGGTATGATCGGCGCTGATCTGCTGGTACCTCATACCAATCATAGCCCTCCTGAATCTATCAAACCAAGCACGAGGAGACTGCTTTAGCCTATAGAGAGACTTTTTCAATCTGCAGACCTTTCCTACTGTCTGATCTAACCGAATCCTGGTGGTATCTCCATGTATACCTCATCCACTAGATCTCCATGAAGAAATACGTTTTTCACATCTAGTTGGTGTAGCTTCCATCCACCATTTACTGCCAGAGAAATTAAGGTCCGAACAGTGCTCATCTTTGCCACCGGTGCAAAAGTCTCATCGTAGTCGATACCATATGTTTGACTATATCCTTTTACCACCAGACGAGCTTTGTAGCGCTCAACCTGTCCATCTGGATTCTGCTTCACAGTGAAGACCCACTTGCATCCAACTGCTCTCTTTCCTTTTGGTAGTTTTACTAACTCCCAAGTGCGGTTCTTCTCAAGGGCCCTTAGCTCTTCGTGCATAGCAGCTTTCCATTTCTGGTCCTTCTTTGTAACCTGCTAATTGTTAGGTATAGTAACAGAGTCCAGTGATGCAATGAATGCTCCATGTGCAGGGTGGATGTTAGAATATGATACAAATTGAGCAAGATCCCAATCATATCTATCGGGAGAATTTCCCGCATTACTGCGAGTAGTCCTCCGTACAGTTATTGGTGTGGGATGAGTAGGAAGAGGAATAGAATCACCTTGAGAGGAATCTGGTGGTGGTGTAGGTGTCTCAGGAGTCGGGACAGGCGTTGGCAAGGGACTTAGCACCAGTGGCACTGTAGGTACTGTTCCCGCAATTTGTTTCCCCTTCCTACTATAGGTAAGTAGTTCCCCCTGAGCCGTTGGTCTAACACCTCTTGTCTCATTCTCCTCTTCTTCTTCATTCTCTTGCTCCTCCTCAACCAAGTCTCCTTCCCAAGGAATCGTTACAGAAATTGATTTTTCCGATCTCTCACCATTCTCAGACATTGATTTCTCCATATTTACCAATCTCTCACCATTCTCCTCCTCTCGCCTCATACTTCCAGTATTAGGCGAGTTACCAGCGGATGAAGTTACCTTCTGGGTGTAATATGGCTCAAGCTCTCTAAAGTGCACATCCATGCTCACAAACAACCTTTTCTCCACCGGGCTCCAGCAAACATATCCCTTCTGAGTAGCCGAATATCCCACAAAGATGCACTTCACGGCTCTAGGGGCAAGCTTCCCGACAGATGGCCTGTTGTCCTTCACAAAGCACACACAGCCAAACACCTTGAGTGGAAGGATCCCACCATTATCTCCCTTCAATATCTCACACGGAGACTTCCAATCCAACACTCTCGAGGGCATTCTGTTGATCAACGCTGCTGCGGTCAATACTGCTTGCCCCCATAATGTTTCTGGGACATTCATAGAGATCATCATGCTTCTAGCAACCTCTAAAAGATGTCTGTTCTTCCTTTCCGCTATCCCATTCTGGGCTGGTGTGTATGGACAGGTTGTCTGGTGATGTATTCCTTGAGCTGACAAATATTCTTCAAAGGCTCTGTTGGTATACTCTGTCCCATTATCTGACCTCAATACTTTCACCACTGCTCCGTATTGAGTCTGAACAGTCTTATGAAAATTTTGGAAGCACCCAAACACATCACTCTTATTCTTCATCAGGTATAACCAAGTAACACGAGAGAAGCAATCAATAAATGTAACAAAATATTTGTATCCATTCATAGAACTTGTGGAACAAGGCCCCCAAACATCTGAATGTACCAAGTCAAATACACGAGAACTTCTATGGCCTGAACTAATATAAGAGCTTCTAGTAAGCTTTCCAAACTCACATGCATCACACACAAGTTTCTGTTTATTTGCTTTCTCAAATAAAGAAGGATACAATCTACCTAAAACACTAAAGGATGAGTGTCCCAAACGCTGGTGATGAAGCATTAACTCATTTTCAGCACTCATTTTAGATCCTACTCCTGCTTCCTCTATGACTGACACCAATGCTGAATCATTCAGGTTACAATCAAATCCCTATCGCTCCAGAAGATCAGGAGAAAACCACCTTCACTTGCCCGTATGAACATTCACATACTGACGCATGCCTTTTGGCATGTGCAACGCACCTGCCACTTTCCAACGCTGCATGATCAGTGTTTTTTCTGACATGGTAGAGAGATTTCTAGAAATTTTTATGGACGACTTTTCCATTTTTAGCAGTATTGCCTCTGACGAAGAACGAAGTGGATGCCTCCTCAGTCCCACTCCTCAAGTCTGCATCCCTTGCTACTTGCTGCTTCCTCCTGAGTGTCACCAGGAGAGCACGATCCTCCTCAGTAAAGACCGCCTCAGCTTCTTCTTCTTCTGCTACCGTCAGATTCGCCCGATTCCCTGCTCCTCTTCCACCTCGTCGACCCCCACGGCCACGACCACGACCTCCGAACTGTCCACGTCCACCCGAAGAACGAAGTGGATGCCTCCTCAGTCCCACTCCTCAAGTCTGCATCCCCTGCTACTTGCTGCTTCCTCCTGAGTATCGCCAGGAGAGCACGATCCTCCTCAGTAAAGACCACCTCAGCTTCTTCTTCTTCTGCTACCGTCAGATTCGCCCGATTCCCTGCTCCTCTTCCACCTCGTCGACCCCCACGGCCACGACCACGATCTCCGAACTGTCCACGTCCACCCGAATCTTCTTCCTTGGGTGGTTTGGTGCACGCATGCCTTAGATGACCCACCGCACCGCGGTTATAGCACTGTCGAGTCTCTCCCCTAGATCCAGTATTGCTAGAGGCTGCCAGTGCTGACTTCACCACCGGAAGTCCACCTGTCCCCGCCTGCAGCCGAATGCGAGTCTCCTCCTGGATCATGGCAGAAACAGCCTCCTCAAGCGTGGGAATTTTCGGCTGAGCTAGCAGTAATGCAATTCGCTGAGCGAACTCTGATGTCAATCCCTTGAGAAACACCATAGTCCTCTCCTGTAGAAAGGCCTCCCGCTCTTTACATCCTGGGTCCTTGCAGCTTGCCCGGGGAGAAAAATGGTCATAATCCTGCCACAGACGCTCCAGCTCTGTAGCATATTCTTGTACAGTCCTCTCTCCCTGGACTGTGGCGTCAATCTCTCCTTTAATCTGGAACACCCTCAGGTTATTCCCCACTCCATCATATGTTCTCCTCAACTTCTCCCAGACATCCTTCACCTTCTCAATGCCATCCACCGTGGCGGCGATCGTCGGGACCAGTGAGTTGAGAAGCCAGATGTACACCAACATATGAGTGGACTTCCACTCATCTCGTCCTTCCGAGTCCTCATCCGGTTCTGTCTTCTCTCCGGTCAAGTAACCCTCCAGGTTCCTCCCTGCAAGGGTGTATCTCACCCGTCGTGACCAACTCAGGTAGGTACTCGGTCCATCAAGCTTCAGATCGATGGTCGGAAGCTCCAACTTCTTCGATGGTCTTGTCGCGCTTTCATCAGCCGACAACTTCATCAACTTCATCAAAGTTGACACCTCCGCAGGGTTCAACTTCTTGATGATCTCCTCCATCGATCAAGCTTCAGATCCAACACCTGTTCTTCAAACCCTTGTTGTGTGCAGTGAAAATTTCGGCAGCACTTCTGCTGCACAACAAGAGTAAGATCTTCCAACAAATTCTCGTTTCTCAGAGGAAACTAGAATAAAAAACAGTTATATATCTCATCGATGTGAGATATATACTCTTCCTGTCATCAGTTCGAGGACTGAGTCGAGGGAACCAATGTCAAACTCTAGGTCCAGCATGGTGCGGCAGGGGGTACGAGGTGGCAGCGGCTAGAGGGGGGGGTTTGGAGGGGTTCGGGTATGGTATGGTTCGGTGGGATTAGGGTTCAAAGGGGTTCAATGGGCAGCGGGTTCGGGTGTTTGGCAGCGGGTTCGGGTGGTTGGCAGCGGTGTTTTTTTTTTCCAGCGGGTGTGCGGGTTTGCAACGGGTTTTCAGCGGTGGCAGTGGATTGGGGGCGGCGGCTAGGGTTAGGGTTTTTTTTTGTGGAGGCTCTGATACCAAGTTGTAAATGAAAACCCTAATTCATTATGAGATCTCTTGGGCTTTATATAGGCCCCTTACACAACTTACAAATAAGTCCTAATAAATACTAATATGTCAACAATTAGTATATGATCATGTGGTCTTGTAACTGACCTACGACTATTGTCAATCAATTTTCTGAGCATTGTAGGGTGACAAATTCCAGAAGTCCTTCATTATATTTATACTTCTTTGATTGGATGAACCACATCATTCTCACTTATCTGCTTGATGAATGATCGTTCCTAAATAAAGAGTCATTTTTGGCATTGGCTAGGTCAGAGAAAACGAAGATTGGGGGTGCAGTGAGTGGAGCAGTTGTAAGCATTCTGCTAGGCCTCACAGCGAGCAATATTGGAATCATAGCTTCTGAGGCTCCAGCATATGGAGTTGTAATGGAGTACTTGCTTCCCTTGGCTATTCCTTTGCTTCTCTTTAATGCTGATCTTCGCAAAGTGATTAGGTCTACGGGGACACTTCTCTTGGCATTCCTACTTGGTTCTGGTAAAATCACTTCCAAATGCAAGGCCTAATCTTTGTTTTTCTGATATGAGACCTTTTCATAACTTTTTCTTTCTTTTGATTTCTAGTTGGGACGATAATTGGGACTATTTTAGCTTACCTACTGGTGCCAATGCGATCTCTTGGGCAGGATAGTTGGAAAATTGCTGCAGCCCTCATGAGTAGCTACATTGGTGGATGTAATGTCAATGATTCTTGCAGATTTTTTCCTTATATAGCTTCCTCCTTTTTCCCATTTATGAATTATTTACGTGATAAAAAACAAGAATTCACAAAAAGCTAGATACAGTCACACGGCTATATCTGTATGATTGTTTATTTATGAAATTACCAGAGTCATGCATGCATATAAAATGCCACTTTGTGTCTTTCAAAAGTCAGTTGAAACTCATTAGTTTCATTCCTGAAGTAAAGCATTGAGATGAGTCCTTTATCAAGTGAAATGAAATTTATGATATGTCAAGTTCCCTTCATTCAATTTTTTGCTATTTCCAAGTGTTTGCATAATGAGTAATTGACACTGTTGGATCCTGTTTTTTCATGTTCTATTATTTTCATATGTAAGTAATATTTACTGCTCTGGAAGCAAGATGAATTTCTCTTATATTTTGATTATGATGATTTTTTTGTGCTCTGTCTATACTCTAGCGGTTAATTATGTTGCTGTCTCGGAGGCTCTTGGTCTTTCTCGATCTGTTCTCGCTGCTGGACTGGCTGTAGACAATGTCCTGACTGCTGTATATTTCACATCGCTTTTTATGTTGGCTTCTAAAATACCTTCAGAGACTTCTCTTCCCCCAGTTGGTGTGTAGGTGTTCCTTTAACTTATCCTATTTTAGTGTCAGATGGTCTATCTGTCAAATTTTTATCATGTACATTTGAGCTTCTGTTTAATCATGCACACTCTTATTCTAAACTAAAGATCATGTTGACTGCACAGATGGTTCTTCATAGCATGGTCTTTCACCACTAATGTGTATGATTTAGTTTATGTTGGTTACCTGTTGCATCATTTGAAAGTATATGTGCCTGATTAAGGCTAATATTTATCACAGCTGATCTAGATATTTGATAATTGTTTGAGCACAAAAAGGTTTCCATTCGACATTGGTTGACCTCAATGTTGACAGTTTGTTAAGTTTCTTTGAGTTTTTTAAGCAACAAGTCACTTGTGCCAATTCATTGAAAAAGAGTATGCTTCATGAACCTAGAGCATGAGGGTGGACATGTGGACAATTAAAGTAGGAACTACAAGTTTGAGGGTTTATGACACTTCGATGAGGGGATGTGTGTGGCCAAAAATTCAACCAAGAATCCAGTGCTCCATGAAATATTTGGTGGCGGTTTTTATTAGAGTTGAATACTCAATCGTTTCTCTTGTTTTTAAATGTTTGAAGATAGTTTGTTGGCTGTAGATAAAGATCAATATTCTAGCTTATGAAGCTCCCTTCTATAATGCATGTACTAAGTAGTATATCATTCATATTTCTCTAAAACTTTCATGAAATTGGCTGTATTTAGTCTTCCTATCAAGAATTTCTTTCACACCCTTGTGTCCAAGTATCTGCAGTAAAAATTATATGGTATATAAACCGGGTAGGGTATCTACTAGTCACATAACCTTCCTGGATCTGTTCTACTTGGTTTTCAGAAATATCATTTGTGGAATAAGATCCCACCGTGAGTCTGTGTGTGTATAAGTCTTACGTGTTTAAGGATAACACGGAGGATTCAAACTAACCTTCAACTTTAGCAGATAACATGGAGGATTCTGGCGATCAAGTGGGAGACAAGCTTCCTGTGTTTAAAAGTGCTACTGCAATTGCTCTATCATTCACAATCTGCAAAGCTGCTTTAATTATTACCAAGAAAATTGGTTTTCAAGGCGGTACTCTACCTTGTATTACAGCTATTATTGTGCTCCTGGCGACCACATTTCCAGCACAATGTGCAATTCTTGCTCCTGCTGGAGAGGCTATTGCTTTGATTCTGTTGCAGGTATTTCTCTTGAACAGTAAATTGTTTATCCGGTGCACTTGTGTGCTAATTCTCATTGTTCATAATCTATTACATTCCCATTTTAGTGAATAAACTCCTGGCCGCTAATACTAATATAGTTTCTTCATCATTAACATGTGAACATTAGGTATTCTTTTCTGTGGTGGGAGCAAACGGTAGCATCTCAAATGTCATTAAAACATCGCCAAGTATCTTCACATTTGCTTTCATCCAATTGGCCACGCATCTAGCTGTGATTCTTGGAATTGGGAAGTTACTTAAATTTGACAGGAAGCTACTTCTTATCGCTTCCAATGCCAATGTTGGAGGCCCTACAACTGCCTGTGGAATGGCAAGCACTAAAGGATGGAGTTCTTTGACAGTTCCTGCAATTCTTGCTGGCATTTTTGGAATTTCCATGGCGACGTTTCTTGGTATTGGGTTTGGGCTATTTATACTACGACACATGTAAACGTTTATGGAGTAATATCCTACAAAGGACACCCTATAGAAAATCATATATGGAGATGGGAGACATTTGTAACAATAAGTCCGACTGCACTAGTGATGTATATAGAGGGAGAGTCGTTACAATTGTACCAGTTTTTTATGACCAAGAATCCCTTTGAATATATATCCAATGCAGGTATCTTTTGTTGCTGTATTTTTATCTTTCGGCATTATATCGTTTCACTTACATTTCATTTTCGAGTTAAAATGAATATTTTATAGTAGTTGTAAGTTTATTTTATTTTCAGCAACAGAATGCAATTTTGATTGCTTGTTAAATTTCAAATTGTATTAATATTTACCCTGAAGTCAAATCCTTTATTTTTTTTTGTTCCATTCACTCTTTGTTATGCTTATCAGTATATTTCTTTCTCATCTGAGAGCCAATGTCGTGAGTTCGGCAAAGTACAAATTGCTAAACTCTGAAGATAGGGGCATAATTGGTGAAGTTAAGAGCCTGTTTTCTACTTAAGTTGCTCGTGTTTCAAGCTATTTTGCATCCATCTCAATGCTTTTGTTTTTAGACTGTAATGCACAGCGTTGATTATATGTATAGGATTCAACTGATTGTTCCTTCATTCTCAAAGTTTTTTAAATTCTAACAATTATTCACAGTCAGAACTTGACGCCCTGCGATCCCATGCGCTCGGTATGAGCCACCAAACTAGGGGGGCACAACAATATCCCCCCCCCCACCCACCCCTCCCCCCCTCCCCTCGCCCCACCCCCCCCCCCCCCCACCCCCCCCCCCCAGCCCCCCCCCCCCCCACCCCCCCCCCCCCCCCCCACCCCCCCCCCCCCCCCCCCCCCCCCCCCCCCCCCCCCACCCCCCCGCCCCCCCCCCCCTCCTCCCCCGAACCACCCCCCGCCCCCCCCCCCCCCCCCCCCCCCCCCCACCCCCCGCCCCCCCCCCCCCCCCCCTCCCCCCCCCCCCCCCCCCCCCCCCCGCGCCCAACTGAATTCATCATAGGGCTCAGACCGACCCCTCGGCAGCAGCGAATTCTGTACACCAAGTACTCGTGGTTTTTGTCTCGGTTACAGTCTTCTCCCTTTCTCTTTATTTATTTATTTATTATTTTTTCAGGGAAGTACTGGAACTTTCTTGTGTTTGTTTTTGGCTCCAGTTGACATTAATTTTCGTCATACTAATTGCACTTTTAATGGAACGAATTAAATGATGAAAATTTCATAGCTTGATGAATACCATGTTCGGGTCGAAAATCGTTTTCTTCATTGCGGGACTCATTATAACTTCAGTCGTTACAATGATTCAAAAGGAAGGACTTTTTATAAGCCTCCTTACACAATGCAAATGAAAATATTACAATTTTCTTGAAAACACACGCAGATAGATTGTTTATCGGTCTTCTGTTTGCGCGGGATCTTTACAGGTACCGGGGTTTATCCGTGGACCACCAACTGATCAGATCCGAATAACGATTTCGTTGCCTCGTAAAGGAGACAAGAAATTGAAGTGACTATCTCGGCAACAGCGAGATAATCACTCTTCTCTAGAATCGCAGCTAGGTGTGATCTCAAGGGAAACGGATGAACGGGATGCAGATCTCTCTCAAACTCTTCTCCTCCTTGTGCTGAAGAACTCGCCAAGATCCCTTCCTCCTCTTTGAAATTCGTGTTCCTCACTCTTCAATTTGACAGGACTTCGCCGAGGCTCGAGAATTCCGGATCTGTGCAAATGAACGCCTAGGGCCGTATTTATAGGCTTCAGATGCTCGGTGTTCGGATAAAAACGATCGATTTGATCTCATCCTCAGTTGTAACCACTTAACCATGTTCCAAGATAACTTCAGATCAATTGGGGAGGCTTTGGATCAAAATATACTCAAATCCGGGCGGTTAACGAGCGAAATCAACATTTTTAGGCGTGAGACAGACTTTGTGTCTCAGCTTTGGCCGAGACCCGATTGCGCGTCTCGACTTGTTTTTCGTGTAATTCCTTGGTCCGATCTCGGAATGATGCGATTCAAAGTGCGTTGGAAAGCCGGAGTGGAGATCTACAATCTCCTATGAGTGAATCATATGTGGAGTGGACGAGACACGAGTGGCGCTTCATCTTTCGTGAGTGTACCGTAACTCCCGTTCGGATAGTCTCTTCGTTATTTCGTCGTCCCGTTGATTCGTATGCTTCGTCGACTTGCTTCATGCGCTCGTCCATATCAAATAATCCCCTTTGACTCGGATAATGATGCTCATCATCTTCTGTCTCGAGCTATGTGCGGGAACCTATAGGTAATTTTTGATACCTATAGATACCCCCTCCAAAGTGTTTCAGTCTTATTTTTTTCATAGAAGAGTCTGGAATACTTTGGATGTGATAGGCCCAACCTTCAGTCAGTGTAAAAGGACCTACAATTGGCTTCAGTTCTTGACTTCTTCGATTTTCAGTCTATTCAGTAGTTTATCGAATAGTTGAAATTCTTCTGGAGCTATGTTTATCATCTAACCGTTGTTGAAGTCTCGAACTGAAACTGGTGTGTTGATTTTTGATTTTAGCTCGTGTCGTTGAGTCGACGTTGAACTGACTATCTTCATCGGGGATTCATATCTGAATTACGACTGAACTCCCTAGGGTTGTCATATAATCTCAAAGAATCAGAGGGCGTATTGACTGATACCGCAGGGTGTGTCGACCGAAGAGGCATCGTCTCGTCTGGTTAGTCGAGATGTCGAGTCGACACAGAGGGTGTCGTTTCGTCTGGCAGAGCTTCGTGTTGACTAGTCAGGCTTCGTGTCGACTATCTTCACATCGGATGGCTTCGTGTTGACTGGCTTCGCCTTTTGAGTCAACACGGGAGGTGTCGACTCGTCTAGTCGAGCTTGGACTTGATTTGAGTCTTGTTTGACGAAATTTGTCGACGTGCTAATTTTTATTGTAGGCATTGACCAGCGTTGACCTTCATCGTAACGCGTTGACCAGCATTGATCTTCATCACAACGTGTTCACCGGCATTGACCTTCATCACAACGCGTTGACCAGCATTGATCTTCATCGCAACACGCTGACCAACGTTGACCCAAGGCTGGTGTTGACCTTCATCGCAACGCGTTGACCAGGATTAACCTAAGGCTATGTGTTGACCGGTGTAAACACAGTTTATACTCATACGTTAACTCGAGTCTATACAGTTTAGGCTCTTAAGGCATTGAAGCGGGGAGGACCAGTTTATACTCATATACTCACTAGTAGAATTCGTCGTATTGCTGACGGCCACATCCCTGACGGGGGCTTGCCGTCGGCGTTGTTTATATCCCTGACGGCAAGTGCCGTCAAGGATATGGTCGTCGGCATTGTAAACCCCCCGTCAGCGATTTTTACATCGCTGACGGGTTATCCAACATCGCTGACAGGCTCCCCGTCAGCGATGTTGAATTATTTTTGGGGGGGTTTATCCCCCCAAAAATTTCATTTTCTCTATTATGCCCTAGCCGCCATTCGTCGAAGAAACCCCAACTCCTCTCCCAAATCTCCCCTCTCTCCCTCTCCACGAACAGCGTCGACCTCCGCCTCCAGTTCCAGCATGGGCCTCCAGTTCCAGCGTCGACCTCTCCACGAACGCCGACGACCTCCGCTCCACGACAGCGACGTCGACGACCTCCACGACAGCTTCTCTCCCTTTGGCAGCCGCCTCCGCCGCCGCCGCATCCACCGCCGCCGTGACTTCACCGCTGCAGTCAATCAAGGTAATATTATTTGTCACTTAGATCATTAAATTTTCTATTAGGTCCCTTAATCATTGAAATTAGTTCATCAAATCATTGAAATTACTAGTAAATTTGTTAATTCTTAAGTTATTTTGAATTAGCCCCTTCAATCAAGAGTAAAATAGCAATTAGAGGGAAACTACTCTGCTTAGCTATTGTCGGTAGGTTTTTGCGAATTTATTGGTGTTAAATGGCTGAATTGTTGACGTATTTATATTATTTGTAATTATATCATCGTTGGAGATGATTTTATGATTAATTCTAATAGGATTCTATGAGTTGTAACTGTCCATTTAGATTGCTAGGTTTTGTTTTCCCTTCCTTCTGATTTTTGCAACTCTAATGAATCGCTTAGAGATGGATAATGCAGCAATGGTTAAGATTCAATTGTGAATTATGAATTAAATTGAAATAATTTTTTGTTTTGGGTTAATATTTATTTTAAGTTTTGATGCAGTTCCTAGTGGGAAAAATTAAACTGTTGCACTCTCTTCAAAAAACAGCAGAATAACTTTATAGTGTTTATCTTAAAGATGCACGTAAGAACCTAGCTCAAGCTTGTAGTAGAATCTTTTTCAATGTTAAATCCATGTCTGTCTAATAATGTACACTTATTAACTATCACAGCAGTGGTGGGCGCACAGAGGAACTTTAGTTAAATTTGTATGTAGCTTTTGTAGAAGTAAATATTTCAATAGTACTAAAAAGTTTGCTAAAGTCAATTGCATATGTTATATATCATGATTTATGAATCGAAAGTCGTTACCCCTAGTTTCCCGTCTAATAATGTTGGATGTGAATCTCTTCTTATATAAACTCACACAATTCTAGTTGGATGTGAAAATACTTTTTACATCTAAAGAGAATAACGTGATTTATGTTAGGAGCATGATATACATGCAATAATTATTAGATCTGTCCGGGGAGGAGTCCCCTTCTCGTACAGGTTAGGAATACAGTAGTGTATCATCTATCTTTGTGTACTTTATGCATTTTTATTCCTTATAAATTTCGATTACACGTACCGCATTGTTCTCCGTGTACAATAAGCATATGTTGTTTTGCGTATCGATCTATTATCGATGATTGATACACATTATAACATCCGCACAGTGTACTCGGAGAACTGCGGGTAGGTGCTGCCGAAATTTTCAAGAAATAAAAACGCTTAAAGTATATAAAGGTAGTTGTAAACACTACTATATTCCTAATGGGATAGGTCCATTTCCTATGACAGCCGTTAAATTGTCTTATTTCAAATATGAGCGTTAGATTTTACTCCCACATAATTTCTGTCCTGGTAATTTTCCCTCCGAGATTACTATAATTAAAATTTGATAACGCAACCTTTAAAGACGATGCGTTACTAATAAAAATTCACATTATCTAATTATGCTTAATATCATACAGATCTATATATGAGGATAGTTCCGGA